TTTAAAAAAAAACCTTGCATTATCTTTCACGCTCAAAAACTGCGAGACTTCCTTGGGCGATTACTGTGATAGAGTAATAGAGTTTTACACAGATAAAGTAACATTACGAGGATTACGAGGACAGCAATTTGCCACCGGTCACAAGTTTGAGGTAGTTCTGTACGTTAAAGCTGAATTTGTCGAAGCAATAAAAAGTAGCGAGTCTGAGAAAAGTCAAGTAAGTGACTGAAAGGAAAGCCTTGGGTTAGCATATATATCTGCTCTTAAATTTGCCGCTGCACTCACTTTCCCATTGGCCACATTACAAATGTGGGTATGCTGAGCACAGCACCTCGTCAATGTAGCTCAAAGTATGAATCATTTCCGCCCTCAACTGTACCATTCTCAACGTTAATATACATTGCGATGGTCAAATGTGTCTTGCTTTTACTGATGAAAATGCGACAAAGCTGAATTTCCCGGTGACGCAGATACAGTGTAGAGGTGTTTTTTCCTGACCTATAGTCACTGCTTTTGCTACAGTTTGGATAACTAAGAAAAGCTCTGTGAAATAGAAACTAGTAGTGGCAAGATAGGGTTAAATATTCAACTTGGCAAAATTGTAACTCTTCTCCCTTTAAGAAAATTTTCCAATATTTCCTTTTGAGATGTTTTCCGCCTCTCGAAGCTGGATTTCTATTAAGAAACGGCTGCAACGCAAATCAGGTTGAAATTCAAATTATACAGGTGTCCAATAAGACTTTAATTATAGAAACGGATAACTGTTTGAAACTTCTATGAGTTGCTCAAGGAGTCTTGCGAAGAGATTACAGCATTACCAGGGAAAGTGCCGTTGACTTCCTCCTCAAAATGGGATGTGCTCTTATTGAGAATGGCAGCTTCAGGAAAATTAACTTTAGCTTCATAGTCAATGCGTCTTTTTTTCTGTCTTCGGTTGCAAAACCACGTACGAACCACCTGAATCATATACAAGATTTGAATCTTCGCACGTAATTCTGAGTTTTATTGCATCTTGAACTCGGCTTGAAACAATGTGCTTAGAAATATGTATGGAAATATGCTAAAAATCTTTTCTCAAGTTCTCAGGTCTCTCTTAAGCAAACTTTACCTCATAGCTGAAGTGCAGTTCTTCGGCAAATTCTACCAGCAGTGAAGTGTCAGGTGAAGGGTCTATCGCAAAATAATACTCCAGCCGATGTTTAGCCATTCCCTTGAATAACAAAAAAAATCTTCTGAAAATTCTTCTTAAAAAAATCTCTATTAGCTCAAAAGTAGAAGGAATGGCGGATACTAATGTTTTGGATAGATATAATGTATGTAACAGAGGTGTTCTACGTCCTCCAGTCCTTGTATTTTTGGATGACTGACTTGAGCAACAGATTGATTAAAAAATATTATACATACAGTCATTTAGAT